GGGGAAGCCTCGTGCTGAGAATGTACTGCAAGTCAATGAGATTAAAGAAGCGAAGCAGCACTTGCAGCTCCTTCCTTCCCCCCTGGGTAATTGAATTGCAGCTCTGGCACTGATGTGCTCTCGCTGGGGCTGCCTCTGTCTCCCTGCTGGGGCCTGCAATCTTAACATCTAAATAAAACTTCCACTCAAGCATTTTTTATGCTTCTGCCAGCAGGATCACAGAGCTGGTGTTGGGCACGTTAATGTGCTGTTCAGACTCACAGGGTCTCCCTGGGCACCAGCAGCACTGGCACATCATAATTATACATGTCCCAGAAAATGACATTTAGATTTGCGTTAGCTAAAGGGATTGAGGTGGTTTGGGTTTTATTTTTTTTATGTTTTTGAGGAGACAATGTGTGTTCTTATAAGGCTCAGTGTTGCTAGAGAAAAGCCTGAGAGGGTTTGTGCCAGGTAGGTGCCTTCGGCTGTGTGTGGATGCCAAGCTGGTGGTCTGGGAGGAGGGAGCACAGGGAGGACTCTAATCCCATTATAGATCATAGAATCATGGACTGGTTTGGGTTGGAAGGACCTTAAACATCATCCAGTTCCACCCTCTGCCATGGGACACCTTCCACTAGCACAGGTTGCTCAAAATTGGCCCAAAGTCCTGGGATCTGCTGGGCTGGAAGATATCAACCCACATTGTCCAAAACCTCATCCAACCTGGCCCAGAATCCTGGGATCTGCTGGACTGAAGTCCTGGGATCTTTTGGGCTGGCAGATATCAACCCATGTTGTCCTAAACCTCATCCAACTGGCCCAGAATCCTGGGATCTGCTGGGCTGGCAGATATCAACACACATTGTCCTAAACCTCATCCAACCTGGCCCAGAATGCTGGGATCTGCTGGGGCAACTAGCCCAGAATCCTGGGATCTGCTGGACTGGCAGATATCAACCCACATTGTCCAAAACCTCATCCAACTGGCCCAGAATCCTGGGGTCTGCTGGACTGGCAGATATCAACCCACATTGTCCAAAACCTCATCCAACTGGCCCAGAATCCTGGGATCTGCTGGGCTGACAGATATCAACCCATGTTGTCCAAAGCCTCATCCAACTGGCCCAGAATGCTGGGATCTGCTGGGCTGGCAGACTGCAAGGTTGCCCAGGGATGTCCTGACCATGATGGGTTTGGGGGTGAGATGTGGCCATCAGTGAGTGGCAGAGCCCTGCAGGGTCTGTCCTTCAGCCTGGGATGAAGTGTTGTGGTCCACACTAGACATGGGTCAAAGGGATTGTGTTTTCCAAGTCCAGAAACCTGAGCAGATGCTCCTGCTGCTGAAGGCTCAGGGATCCAGAGAGCTTTAGCTGGGGGTGAAGGGCTGAGCATCAGCCCCTGGAGCAGCATCAGCCTTAGCTCTCTGAGGAAGGGTCTCTGTAGCCTTTTGAGTGATGATCCTGGTGTCCTTGAGGACTTGAGTGTTCCAGGCCAGGGTGGATAAAGCCTTGAGCAACCTGCTCTGGTGGGAGATGTCCCTGCCCAGGGCAGAGGGTTGGGGCTGGAAGATCTCTAATCTCCATCCAACCCCATAATTCTCTGATTCTGAGACCTGTTCCTTATTCTGGGAATAGCTGGGGACATGATGATAGACCATGAATTCCACACCTAACCCCTGGTCTGCCCTTCCCAGGCTTCTCCTGCAGAGGAAAAGGCTGAAAATGTGCTGAAAGGGGATGGAAAATCCTAAGGTTTGTCTTTGCTTTGCTCCCTGTAGGACTGGAGGAGATGCCACCAAAACCTATCCAAGACACAGGGATCATTTTGAAGCAAGGATACCTGGAGAAGAGGTCCCGAGGTAAGACCTGACACCAGAGGATCTCCCCTGGGGATGTCCCCTCAGAATGACCCAGAATTGAAGTTTTCAGGTGAAAAAGAAGCAGGAAAAAGCCATTTCTCCCTGCAGCTTTGGCCACACAGAACCTTTCAGGCTGCTCTGAGGCATCACACACACAGAGAGGCACAGCCTGGCTTGGTTCTCTTTAGCAGCTCATCAAACTGCACCAGCATTAACCCCCAGAAATGGAATTAAGCAGCAGCTCCCAAATCCTCCAAGGCAAAATGTGTCCTCCTAACCAGCAACCCCAGTGAGGCCAAAAGACTTCAGAGAATCACACCCATTAGTGGCTTGAGATAAGGACTGGGAGGTTTATCTTGATTTTTCCCCAACCCTTGTGAAAGCTACAAATGATTTTCTCATCACTCTCATTTTAGCTTGATTTATTTACTGTATGACAGGTGGGAAGAGGCAGGAACAGCTCCTTCTTTATCCTCATGGCCATCAGCTGAGCTTAGAACTGGCCCTGGGTGTTCTTGAGCTTCCTCCAGTTGACTATTTTATGTCACATGTCAATATAATCTATCCTTTAATAAACTCTCTTTCTACCCCCAAGCTCTGTTCTCTTCCCATGAGCATCACATCCATCTGACTCCTATAAAAATTGACTATTTTGAACTCTTTTGCCATCTCTTTTCTTCCCAGACCACGGTTTCTTTGGGTCAGAGTGGCAGAAGAGGTGGTGTGTCCTCAAGAAAAGGAACTTCTACTACTACAACAGTGAGAAAAGTAAGTGATGGAAGAGATATCTAGATATGGTTCCCAGATTGGAGGTGGCTCAGGGCATGGACAGAGCTAGGAAAGAGTCATAGGCTGTTAAGGGGTTGGAATGGATCATCTAGACCCTGGGCAGGAAAAAAAAGGGAAAAGAGAATAATATCCTGTTCTTCATCCTTTGATAGAGGACAAGATAATATCCAACCATGGGAAGTCTGTAATGCCCCATCAAGGCAACACGTGGAGGTGCTGGAAAAGGAGATTTCAGCTTGATTTAATTTTTCCCCCTCCCCCCTAAAACAAAACCCCACCTTGGTGGGCATGAAAGAAGAGAAAAGAGGCACAGGGATGGAGCTGTGTGTAATAAAATGCTACAGCAAGGTTTCCATTAGCCTTCAGCTGGGCTTCAACCCCCTGAGTGACTCTATATAATCCACGTGGCAGTGTCTGGAAATATTCTGCAGTCATGCTCCATCAGGTCCATATAAACAGACAGCTAATATCTCCAGCAGAGTTTGGCATGAGGAGATGGATGGGTTTCCTCTCCTCCACCCAGCCAGAAACACACCATGGGATGCCACACAAACCACCTCCAGCCCTACAGCTGGGATGGGAATCACTCCAGAGGGGTGTGAGGCATGGAGATGGGTCTTTGTCCTTCTTCCACAGCCTCTGGCTCAAGGTCTGGGCATTTTTCATTCCAAATAAGCTTCCAAGGGTGTGTGCAAGGCATGAGCTGCTGGCAGAGGTGGAGTTGAGCCAAGGGGGGAGATTTGGTTGGGTTTGAGGAGGATGAGCTGTTGTCATCTGCCAAGTGGTCTCCAGAAGATATCAGGGTGAAGGAAACTTGGGCTGGATGATGAAACTTATGTAGGGGTGAAATCCTTATGTAAGGCTGAAGTCCTTAGGTAGGGCTGAAATCCTTAGGTGGGGCTGAAACTTTTACATAAGGCTGAAATCCTTTGGGTTGAAACCTTTATATAAGGCTGAAACTTTTATATGGGGCTGAAATCCTTAGGTAGGACTGAAACCTATATATAAGGCTGAAATCCATAGAGCTGAAACCTTAACATAGGGCTGAAACCTTTATATAGGGCTGAAATCCTTAGGTAAGGCTCAAACCCTCATGTAGGGCTGAAACTTTTATATAGGGTTGAAATCCTTTGGGCTGAAACCTTTATATAGGGCTGAAATCCTTAGGTAAGGCTCAAACCCTCATGTAGGGCTGAAACTTTTATATAGGGTTGAAATCCTTTGGGCTGAAACCTTTATATAGGGCTGAAATCCTTAGGTAAGGCTCAAACCCTCATGTAGGGCTGAAACTTTTATATAGGGTTGAAATCCTTTGGGCTGAAACCTTTATATAGGGCTGAAACTTTTACATAGGGCTGAAACCTTCACATGGGGCTGAAATCCTTAGGTATGGCTGAAACCTCATATAGGGCTGAAACCTTGATATAAGGCTGAAATCCATAGGGCTGAAACCTTGATATAGGG